ATACATTTAAATAAAAAGGGATTTCACATAGTTTTCACACGATGAAGAAAAGCATAAAGTTGAAAAAAAAACTGTGTCTCCGAAAATGTCATTGCTGCTTCTCTTTAACAGCGCAGATCTGGTAATTTTCAGAGGCGCAGCGTGAATGGGTCTTATTTCTAGAAACATAATACACGGATCATCTGACAGCGAGAAAGAAGCCGTACAAAGCCCAAGTCTCATGCTTTTTTCAGTGAGATACCAGTATGTGGTGAATGTATCTGGCCGAAAGAAGGACGCTTTCAATTCTTGCACTTACCAGAGTTGTTCTTAACCCGCTGGGAGGTTTCCCACTCGCTTCCCCAGATCATTTTATTGTTTCTCGTCTCTGTAACATTTCTTTCAACAGCCTTTGAAAGTCAGGGAATCCTACCCGGTCAACATATCTCATACCATGACTGATACTCCCCCCCGCCCGTATATATTTCCACGCCGCTTGGGTAGCCAGGTCCGACCTTAGCCGTGGAGGGAGGAATGGGCTTTCTGTCAATCGTTATTTGTAGAGTTTTAATTAAAAGTATATATGCACAGCAGCGGAACTACCGGTCCAGGCTGATAAAGAAAGTTGCCCCGGCGAGGCGCGCAGACCGTATCTCATCGCTCACGATATCTTGGCAGAAAATGAAAATGACGTCCGTGTTTTTGTTCCGTGGCTGGACGCGGCCGCTGGGCGAGCGACGGTGTCATTATGCCAGGTGGGAGTTCGTGTGACGATCCGCTCACCGCGAATTGAAAAAAAAAAAAGTGCCCCAATCACACAATCCATCAGATAAGAAGTCAGGGGGTCGTGACGACCAGTTATTGTACTGCCAAGAGTCAAAGAAGCAGACATTTTGCACGGGATTACGCGTTGACGGTGAACGCTGTCTCTATCCATGGAGCTCTGTTGTACGAGAGAAAGTGCACAGCCTGACGGTACTAACATTACATCGTCAAACTGCAAACAATAATCACGCTTCTGTCCTGGTATCTGAACGCAGCTGCTCTGCCTATGTGATAGTCGTCAACTGCAACGCACAGTATGCAGTGGAAATTCAAAAACAGATAAGCAAGCTTAACAATATGAAAGTTACTTGTGGAGATAATACAGTTCTGAAGCAATATGTGCATAGATTTCTGCTGGTTTGTCTATTTGTGAGTTTGGTTTTTGTGTACGAGGGTTCTCCCTTTCCCTGTATTGGTTTCCTGCTCTCTGTAATAGGTCATGCGTTTTATTTTCCCTCTAGAGATGGTCGGCTGCCATCTGAATTGACTACTGAACGAACCAAAATCTAAGTACACGGAAAACGTGTATCAGATTTGTCGAAGAGTCAACGCCAGTCGGGTTTGTATTACACGTCCCCAATTAAATTCGAGACAGAATCAGTCGATGGTTTGCAAAAGAATGTCTTGCTTGCCCTTTGAACTGGCTAGAATTTCTCTGTTGCTGCCCAAATTAAGTAAAAAGAGAAAATGGCGGCGTAAAGCGAGAAGTGGACGCAGTTTATTGAATTGTGCGCAAGTTGCCACGGTTCAATTTCGGATCGAACGCAGCTACCGACATCCGATGTCTTCTTCGAAATGCCATGCCAAAATGTTACTCTTTGCAGGACTTTGCCGCCCGTTGCGGATGCTGTGTTTCGTTTCGTTTCATGGACACAGCCTAGCATCTTGGCCCTTCGGGGCGGCTATGTACGTAGCCAAATTATCGTGAATATACGAGAAAGAGTCAGACGTTCCGAAGTCCCGGCGTGAAAGTTCACCCGCGGCTGCTTGGTATTGTCATCACGATCTCGGGAGTATGACGTCTGTGTGAGACCCCGAGACCCTTGAAGGAGAAACGGAGATAATGTACACATTCACGAGTACAAACGCTCGGAGTCGCAGAGGCAGCGGGGAACAATCCCTGCTCACGTCATGCCAGCGTGAAGAAACTGAACGGTGTTCGACCCGTAGTACCTCCCGCCGATGCGCAGTGTAGAGTAGACCTAAACGGGGCGTGACGGGGTTTAGACTGCACGTCGAGGACGGAGTACTCGACGAGACACTCTCACCAGGAACCAGCGAAGCGATGCCCCGCTCCTCTCGTGCCAAGTTTCCTCCGCTGAGTCTATAGTGGGGGCTCGATTGCACTTCGCTAAACTCCCCGGCGACAGCTGTATTGACACGTTAAGAAGTAGGAGGCCAAACGCGCTATGGAGAATGTTAATTTCCGTCCCTGACTGTTAAAGGTTCGATTTCCCCTCCAAAATATCGCAGATACTCATTTGGTATAATATTTTACACCACTGTTTCAAGTTACAAGTGATTCACAGAGCATTCAAACAATACCAGATCACTGGCCTAAACTCTCCACTCCTCACTTATGTGAATACGTGCGCATTTGTACCAATAAATGGTGAGTGACGGAATCCATCGTCAATTTTGAATGAAGACGGTGTATCGAATGTCAACCTTGAGGCTTAGTATCGGTACATTATTTTCACAGAAGCAGGAAACGGGGTTGATAAACGAGCGCGATTAACGCAAACTGCCCACGTTTGCCGTCACTGTCAGAGTCAGTTCGTAAGTCGACCCGTCTCAAGCAAATTCAATCAGCGTTGTGCTCCCATGTTGACGGAACATACCTAAAGATGGGATCGAGCTAGAGACTGCACTTCAAGGTATGATCCTATCGATTGGCCTAATCAATGGCTACAGTGAAACAAGTGGTTGAAAGACATAGCCGCAAAACGAAACAATACTCAGGAGATATCACATGATAGGCGCACTACGCGCGTCAATAGCTTGATGGCCACATCCATCGAGCAGAAATTGACATCGTATAAAGAGTATAATATTTGATATAGGTGTACTTTTCAATCAAGTTCTATCCGCATCGAGGCGATTACAAACTTAAATTTTGAAGGTTCTGGCAGCATCCGGCGCTTCCGTTGAGTATGATATGGGGCAGGAAGCCCAGTGATGATTGCTTAGCAACATAGACCTTAAAATGAAATTGAAAGTCATTGAGTTATTGTTTCGTTGGAATATATGGGTTGACCTTCTAGCATAGGTTATAATCACGCCTAGAGCCACCAATCAGTCTGGCCAGCATGAATTCACCTTCCTCAGGTAATAACTTATTCAGCACACAGTCACGTCCGCGTACAGTTCTGCACTTTACTACAGCTTTGCTAAAAAAAAAAGTCTTGCGTGCCTTTCATGGCAAAAGACACGTCTCACGTCGGCCCCCTGCCTTCCTTTTCAATTTTCCTGGCACTCTGCCAAGGTACCGCTGTGACGTTGCTTGTTTCGACTCTAAACCCATTTGGGGGTATTCTGTGGGCTCACACCTTACTGGTTCTTGAGTAGGCTACTCCAACCTTTGGCCCGTTGGGAGCACATTTTTCCTCGCTGCATGATTGGTATTCGACAGAGGAGGCAATCTTTGTCTTGACATCCACCTGACGTGTGCGACTCCCGTCTGGGCCCCACCGGCGTCTTTTTTTTTGGAATTCCCACCCCACCGAGTCTTTTCCATTTTACGTAAGTTTCGAAGAACGTAATGCCAGTGATGTTTGCGGTAGAAAACAGCCAGCGGTAATTGTGCGTCTTCGATGGTTGAAGCATTGATTGATCACGGTCGGTTTAGGGTGTTATGTTAGATAAAAAGTCATTTCATGTATACATGTATTTTTTTTCATATCAGAAAGTCTTTAACTCCATCATCAACGTCAACAGTGGTAGACACTGCATAACACAACACGCCACAGTCCCGTGCGAACACTTAGTGAAATCGCCGGGCAACTACAATGCAAAATCTTGACATACCGCAAAAAATAAACGTGACAGTTTATAAATGAATTGTTTATAGCTCAAGACAGTTACTAAGGGAATAAATAAATATGCGCTTAGCTGAGCCGCGGGCGAAGATCTAACCATCGTCCGCTCTTCTAAGCCAAGCCAAGCACTCATCAAATGTTATTCCCATTAATACACCTTCAGCTACAAGTCCGAAAGTCAGAAAAAGGTTACTAGTTACAGAATTCCACCGATTTTGTTCGACAGTATTCATTTTTTTAGATACCCTTCTGCCCATGTAATGGTATGTTCCTGTCGGGAGGAGTCTTATTCCTCTCTCCTTAGGGCGCACGCGTAGCGCGTATTGTGTGAGGTGGTGCAGAATCTGAAGAGCCAATCAGTGCTTTATTACTCGTTTTAAGACCGTCCACGAGACATGGTCTTGACCAGTAGAAATGGCTTAACTGTCTTAGGTATTCATGAATGATGCTAAAACTATGTCGAGCATGTTCGTTTATTCGACTCAGGTTGTTCTAAATAAATTTAATGTTGCGCACATTAATATAGACATCTACGTCATGAAAAACAGTGTTTTTGGTGAAGTTACAGTAACGTTTAATGTATTAAGTTTGTGACACGTGTTGAGAATCAGTTGTAGTGTTCTTCCCCACTTTACTTTAATTAATCCATGCAATCTCTAACTTCAACTACCAACTCCAATCAGTGATGCACTGAATTATTTTTCTTTTCCGATTCGTTATCGAAAATTTCATTTTCTTATAAAATTCATTTATAGAACCTTTCTGTGGAATCCAGTATGTTGCACAGTCAAATATCTACGTCATAAGTTATCTGAAAGGGGAAGGGGCGTTCCCTTGTTGTCATTACTGTCAAAGCATTGACCCATCACATAAATTTATGGCAATAGCTGAACTGAATGCTGACGTACCGACCAATGCCGTTAATGTAACCGGATACCGACTGGGGCTGCCGATCTCATGACCGCCATCGATCATAGACCGTGAGGTTGTTCCAAAGCCAATGCGACATATCGAAGTCATTACCCGTGAATCTTTCCCGGTCCCTCGATGTTCCCCAAAGCACAATGACTGAAGATGCGTGATTGTCAACCCCCCCTCCCTTTCTTGCAGACGTACGTGTGTGCTGCCGTGGACTTGCGCGCAAAGAGACCACGGGCAGTTCGCGTGGCCAGCTACGTCAAAGCCAGCGCTATTGATGGGTTTCTTAATGTTCAGACGGGGGGCTCGTTGAACTCATTTGCTGCTTGGACGACGGTAATCACACAGCCCCCTTTCCGCGTTGGCTTGTCTCACACACTGAACACTATCCTCGCCGTCATTAGAAACATCATCAGGGTCTTCATCTACGCGGAGATTCACCGCGCGCTTTCAGTCTCCTGGAGCGGCCTGTTATTCGTCGAAGTTGACTACCTGACGAGGCATTCGTCATTTTTTTTAAAGGCCGGGTTGGTTCGGAGGCGCATGTTTAACATACAGCGATGATTGAAGGAAAGGGTTACACGTGTCTTGTCCGGCTTGGCGGGAAGTGATGGGATACATGTAAGTTTCTTCGTTCCTTCGACTGCACGTTGGAAGGAAGGGAGGTAAGAGTGATACCAGTTTGATAGTAATAAACCTGTCCTGCAGCCACGCCGTCAAAGCAGTTTCGTTTTTGCAAAATCTTGAATATCGTGAAAGCCCCAACCTGTGATATTTATTTTATAAATATTAGAAAACGACATATAAGAACGAGACGCTTGAAAGCAGAAGCTTCATTCGAAGGCAAATAGCGATCTAAAATAAATGTCTGCATCAGAAGACATGTTGCTATACGCATTTCGTCTTCTGTTGTAACTACCCGCCCAAACAATTCGATGTCAAATCCGCCCAAACCGGTTTTTCCCCTAGAAAATGTAATTGCCCAGATGCAAAGGAGAGTCAAATGTTGGATGAGACGCATATTCCTCGAAGAATTTTTATTTCAGAACATGCCAGAGTAGAAGGACAGTTTGCTAAACGAAAACATTTTTTCCGAGTTTTTGTTTTAAACTGGAGATAAATTGCGGTTCATGGACAGATTATCTTTTTGGTCAGCATAGAGACAGACGCCTGCTGTGCCAATTTTGTGGATGTGGCGGACAGAGCGTTTTCTGGCTTGACTGTCCAGACCAGAATAGTTTTGTCCTTGTAGACTCTTGAAGGCTGAGTGCGTCTGCACGCGACAGGATTGAGCAACGTATTATGGTAAATGCCAACCTGAGGTTAAATAGAGTTTGTTGTGTTGCACTTGCTTCAAGGAACAAAGTATTTTTTCCTGTCAACACCTCTATCGTGTGTGCGTTTTGTCACTATGCAAGCAGTTCCAATTTTGTTTTAAGTGCGTAACCAGATCCAGTGTTAGACTCAGATTGTAGAACGTTCGTTTGAAGTATGTCAGAGAAAGGAATTTTGACCTTTTTACGTTGGCAAATTTGGTATATGCAGTATAATTAAACTTTTGATCGGACACGACTTAAAATCGAAACTAGATCTCATATCGCCCTCTCAGGATGGTTAGAAGTAGGAATCCGAGGTACCAGCAAGTGTCAGTCATCGAGAGAGGGAAACCTTTGTTTTTTTTTCGTTTCTTTCAGAGAATTCGAAATGTTATGAACTGCATTTCTTTGGCTGTTCCGCGAGAATGGGGAAAAATGGGCCTTCAAAACGTGATATGTGATTTTCGGGGGTAAATCCTGAAATGAAAATAAATAAAGATGATGAATTTGTAGAATCCCTCGTGATTGTTTGTGAAATTTAAATTTATAATGTTTTTTCTTACTATTTTCATAACATGACGGCCATGCAAAGGCAAGCTGGCGCATATATATTGTAGATCTGATTCCTCCAGTTGGCGCCATTTTCGAACCATTTTTCATCAGGATTAAAAGTTGTTTTTTTTGCCCGAGAAAAACAGGAGGCGCCCAGGGAGATTACATGATTTTTCAACTTAATGGATTACTTCAGTGCCGGGTACGGAAGACGTTGTGCCCATGAGATGAGAGAAGCACGAAGGAATCGCTCCGGGATGGTATTATCATTCAGCCAATCAGGGTCCATGTGGAAAGCTTACCGGTCACGTGATACTCTGTTGAGTAGCCTCTGCCCGAGGATACTTTTCTTGTTTCAATAACCCTACCTGTTACTTCATACCCTCTGGAAAAATACCACTCCCCCGTTATTTGTGGAATAGCCTCTACAGTCGTTTCGGAAAGACTCGCACGTACCAATAAGGGTGTGTGAAGACGCCATTTTAATACCTACATTAGGTATTTGATGATGGTACCAAAAATAACGGTCACATTTATTCCATTTAGTCCTTCCTCGGCTACACAGAATTTTACCTTAAAGGTGAAAGGACAAGCGAGAAAAATGAAATTTATATCAAAAGATCTATAAAAAGTTCGTTTTTATCCAAACAATGTTGAATCTGGTCTTCAAGTTATTTCAACTCGTAATTGTTTACTAGAATACTGTGGATTATGATCGACTCATAGAAGTGTAAATATCTTCTTCTATTCCAAGATATACATACCGTTTCCAGCTGTTTTTTAAAGCGTTACAACGAGGTAAAAACTACACTCAAGTCTTGTAAGAGTACATTTGATTTACCTGACATTTAACCCGGTCATACATCATCTGATAAAATGTCGCTATTTTTGAAGCTGTCCGTTGGTTTGTACCGAAAACAAACAATTTAAATCGAAACACTGCACAGGACATGTTACAAAAAATTCAAACGAAAACGGATGGTCATTTGTTCCTACGATAAATGCCCAATTTTCCGGCTCAATCATGGTCCTTTATTCCTTAGTAGTTAATCTTCAATGGGCATCTATGCAGTTTCTTTAAGTTTGTATACAGGCAATCGGAGCGTAGCATCAGTCGATACCTCCAATCGTTACGATCCTTCCTTCTTTCCCCGAGGAGTTTCCCTCTTGCCGTGCAAACACATCCATAGATCAATGAGAGAAACCCGCACGAGAGTGTTAGATTTCCTCCCCTATTATATTCTTGTTTTTTTCCCCGCAGAAGAGATCTTCGTTAAAAAACCGAGGGGTCCCATCGAATGTATTGCCGACCGTATTTGCAGGATATCCGTTTCCCTCTTTATGGAGACCTTAACGTGCTTTTATCTGAAATTCATAAATACTTCAGATAGTTTACCCTTTCTTATTGGTCAAGAGCCCATCACATGGCCGGTATTAAACAGCTGATAAAACACCAGCCAGCTGCTGCAAAATTGGCCTCTGAACAGTGTTTGTACGTTTATTTCTACACTGCAATGCATCACCTGCAGGGGTGACGTACTTCGAAAAAAAGTGTATTTATTTAACTTTACGCTGAACTATTCCTCAGAAAGTAGATGGGTTTTGAAACCCAGGGAGATTGGTAGTACGAGAATTATTATGTTTAAAACCATTCTAAATGAATAGTTATTTAAACCTTTAAAAGAGAGCAACGAACTTAAAACCTCTTGATCAAGCTGGAAAAGTTGATATGTAAGCACGAGCGCGCGAACGCACGAAAATATGACTGTTTTTGTTGCACCTCCTGGTTGAAAATAAATTACGGAATACTCAATGTAAGTCATTTTTTAAAATTCACAGTTGTCAGGATAAATTCAATTGTCTATCGCATATCCATATACGTGGATATGCAATATGTAGAAGTGTTGCTTTTCGTTGAATAATTCATTGTTTATTTCAGGCGCAAACCAATTTCGTACTGTGCTTTTGCCACGAACTGGCCCTCCGGATAAACAGTGGCAATGATGGCCATTTTAGTCTGACCGACGGTCTCGATTTGTATTATTTAAATCATCTTTATTGCGTTAGGGCAGACACAAGTCATTAATTTTGATAGTGGCCTGTAGATTGGGGAAAAGCAAACAAAATGGGGAAAGTGTAAAATTTAGGTACGAAAATTTCGAGGTTGTGAAGAATCATATTCGTATTTATGAATGGATAATAGCGATTATCACAATCCAAAGCCAAACCGGTTTTAAACATTTTGTTGAATTCCAGCCAAGTACATATTTACTCCTTGAGTAAAATGCTTCATTGTGATAGATTTTTTTCTGTAGCATTGATAAATAGTTACCAATATAGCATCGAACCGACCAACGAGAGCCGTAGATTACAACGGGAACCGTTATTTGTTATGGCAATCTTTTTTATAGCGTAACCAACACCACGAAGTAGCTTCAACTGCACTTGCGTGCTACTTCGTGAAAACAATTGCGGTTTACAACAATTTCGGTTTCACGAAGTAGCACTCAAGTGTGCGCGCGCACATCGTACACTGATGCATAATCGAACGATTTTCGTTTTCACGAAGTAGCACTCGTGTATCTTGTCAATATAGCATGTATAAAAACGGTTTGAAAGATCTGAAATGATTTGATTCACCCGTAAATATGTGACTTAACTAGAAGATGATCTTTAAAACTCATTTTAACTGTTTAAATTAAGGAAAAAGTCAATTCCTTACAACGACAACTCACGGAGTTCGTGCCATACGTGCTGAGTGCTACTTCGTGAAAATGAATATGACACATTTCTGTGAAATACGCGCTGAAGCAGCGCACACACCTTTGGATGGTTACTACTTCGTGGTATTGGTGACGATAGGGGCATTTGCACTTTGTCAGCGGTCATGGTTTTATTCGTGCGCTCTACATCACTCAGAATTTGCCGTTGCACGCTTTTACGGATGAGCTTTCACCCCCGTAGCATTTTTCAGGTCGGTGCCTTTAATGTTTGTTTAAATTGTTTGAGTGGAAACGGCGTACTTTTTTACATTGGCATGTTTTGGCATTGTCAGATACGGAGTCAGTTGTGTATGCGTAGGTATTGTTTGGATACTCATCTTAAAAGGAAAAAAACGGGGAAATGTAATTCCTTGATTCTGTTGTCGTTAAGGTCGCGCTCAGATTACATTGGAGTTGATTAAGTACTGCGGACTTTGCACACAAAAATAGAGAACTTCTGTTCTCATGACACAAAGAAACTGATTCAACAGTCCAGCCAGCTCAGTTAGTCGGTGTTTTCATAGCAAGTAAAACAGAGATTCCTACATGAACGAGTTTGAAACTACTCTTCATTTCATGACACATATTTGACTATACTTTTTTAATACTTTACGGATTCAGGAATTTTTGGGTACAGTTATGATGTAAGAATTTCCAAATTGTAACCACACCTAGCTGCAGAAGTATTGTTGAAATTAAAGCGTGATTCGTTGTTCATTTTTTCCACTTCTCGAGAACAGAAAGAGCTGGAGGTCTTTGTTTTTCCCTGTCACGTTGTACATTTTTTGGTTATTTCGTGAAAACGTACACACATGAAAAACTTGTTTCTTTTGTTACATTTCAAGACTCGCGCTCATTTTTTTTGTTCATTACCGTTCGCGCCGCATGGATAAACTCGCATCCTCACTGTGGAGATCGAGTTTTGTGTTAAATGTTTGTTTATAGTTAATATCAAACTAAACAACATTCTTCTTTGAAAATTTTTCTTTGAATCAAATTTGGTAAAAAAGGCTGGAAAAGTTTAGATCCAAAAAT